TTGAAAGGATAAATTCGAATATGATGTTAACATGTTTTTCATATTTTCACTGCTTCTCGGATAAAATTAACATAATCCTTTCAAAATTCATTAATTGGAACTCTTGCCTCCATAAAAATACAATATTCAAATACATGGTTGTATGTTCCGACAGAGAAAGAAACATCTCCTCAAAATGTATAAAGAGTAGACTAATCAAGATGTAACAGTTAGGCATTTATTTCGCAATAATGCTTTACTCTTCAATATATAATAACTTCTTATAGACTAAAAAAAGGACAATTTATATTTTATGCATTTTGCTTGTGAGAAAAAAAAAATACATCATTCAATTAGTTGACCATTTGTGTGTTTATGAATAAATACTTTTTCAAGAAAATAACTTGAACAATTTTGAGTTGAATATCTCGATTGAGATTTGAGATGATTGAGGACATATCCAGTAGAGTTTCTTCCTTTATTAGGCTGGATAAATAAAAAGCAACAATTATTATTTTCTTGTACTTACATACTTTTGTTTTTAACTTTTACTTTATAACTCAAACAAAACTTTTAATATTATATTTATGTGATTGTTTAAAAACATAATATTTATTGAGATAGAGTACACGCGCAACGCGTGTGTTGAGGAACTAATACTATATTTTAAGTGTGAATGCCTAAGTGTAAAGTTAAAAGACCAAAATATCCCTTAAAAGCTAAGTGACATTTGCCCTTCATTTAAATACTACTCTTACGTCATTTTTGTACCAAAAGGTAAAAATATCTCATAATAAATTGAGTTCTTTAATTTTCTACTACACTTTACATGAAAACATAAAATACAATGTAACGTATAAAATATTTTTGAAACTTGCAAAATATTTTTGTAGTCCCAACTAAATTCATCTAATATCCAGTTGAAACTATGACTGTCCAACGGGACGGGCCGGCCCGTCCCGTCCCGCTAAAAATTAAACGGGATGGGCCAATGTTACGCGGGACACGGGACGGGACGGGACGGGACGCCCGTTTCGTCCCGTTTGTCCCGTCCCGTTTCGTCCCGCTTCGTCCCGTCCCGTCCCGTCCCGTCCCGCCTGTTTTTTTTTATTTAAAAACTAGCCATTGGGCAACGGCTTAAATTGCAAAAATAGCCGTTGCCAACGGTCCAAAAAGCCCCCACACCCCGCAAAACACCCCCAACCCCCCCCCTCCCCCCAAACTTTTAATATAACCCCTAAGTTTAATATTTGACACTTTGGCCCTATTTTCTACTATAAATACCCCCCATTCTTCTTCATTTTTTCCCACAAAAAATCAATCTTCTCTCTCAAATCTCTTACATTCTAATATTCTATATTATTCTCTCAATATTGTTACTATCAAGTGATATCTTTCAACTTTCAAGTATTTGGGCAAATTTTTTGGAGCAACTTTCAAGCTTCAAATTAATTCGTCAAGTATTTGGAGCAATATTTCGGGCAATTTCTTCAAGTTTCAATATTTAATCACGGTGCACTCGTTCCATCTCCTAATTTTAATATATAATTTTTGCTATCATTTTAGTGCTTAATTTTTGTGTTTACTTTACGTGTTATATTTTCGCATTTCATTTGTGTGTGTAATATTTGTGTTAGTTTTTTTAATTTAGTTTCGTATTTAAATCATGGCACCTAAAAATGTATTTGGATATTTAAAAAAAGTAGTAAAAAAAGTAGTAAAGGTGAAAGTAGTAGTAATCCTAATCCTAACCCTTCTCCTATACCCCCTAGAGTTCGAACGAATATTGATGAAATGACTCATGTTGATGAAACTTCATTTTCTCAACCCCCCACATTTTATGATGTTCATGTCGGAGAACAATTAGATCATGAAACTTTACAAAGACAATTTGGCAACGATATTTTTTTTGAGGATGAAGAAAATGAGGAAGAAGAATTAGACGAAACACCCACTAGTCCCGCAACACAAGCTCCAACTCAGAGTCAATCTCAGTCTGGAGCTTTACCCCCTGTACCCCCTGTTAAGGTGTAGCCTAAGGATGAAACGTCCAAAACATTCACTTGTATGGAATTTTTTTAAACATGATAAAGTCAATCATCGTGCTATCTGTGAAAAATATAAGCAACAATTTGCACACTCATTAAGTGGTGGACGGGGGGTTAACTAGACACTTGAGAAAGTGCTCACAAAGATTTATGATAAAAACTAACATAGAAGCCGGAAAAATTATAGATCCTACCATCAGTACTGGCACTCCTAGTGGATCTGGTTCTAACCAAATTCAACAACAACTTGACCCTGCTTCCGGTCATATTTTACACAAATATAACAAAGATAGAGATCGTGAGAACTTAGCAAAAATGGTGGCGGTCTGTGGCTTACCTTTTTACTTTTCCTTCTACCCTGCTTTTGTGCATTATATTCAAGAAACTTATAACCCTGCTTTTCAAGGTTTTCCAAGACCACGGTTAGAAATGATATTTTTAATTTCAGACTGAATATCTTCAGTATATTCGTTGTGTATTTTATCACTTGGATTGTAAAGTGTCCATCACATCTGATATAGGTCGTAGTCCTAATGGTTGTGATTATTTAACTGTTACGTGTCATTGGGTTGATCATCATTGGAACTTGCAAAAACGTATTATTGGTTATAAATTTGTTGATTCTAAACACACTGGGCATATATTGCAACTACTGTTCTACAAATACTTGATTTTTATGGGCTTATTAATAAAGTTCTAACTATCACCTTAGATAATGCTTCTGCTAACCACAACCGCGGCAAATAGCTTAAAATCTAGACTTTGTCCAATTAATCCAACATTTTTCATTAGATGTGCATGCCATATTTTTAACTTGGTTGTAAAAGATGGTCTTAATTTATTTTCTGATGCTTGTAGTAAAATACAACATGCTTGTGGCTATATTTTTCGTGCTCATAAACACAAGTAGAATTCGTGAATTTGCTCAACAATGTGCTAGTGCTGGCCTTCCATTTAGAAAAGTTCCAAAAGATGTTTGTACTAGGTGGAATTCTACTTATGAAATGCTTAAAGTTGCTTATGGTTATCGGGTGCCCATCCAAAAAGTATTTAATATGCATAATGCTTACCCTGTTGATCAAATTGTTGATTCTGATTGGGATGAAATTAGAGAGCTTACTAAATTTTTAGAAAATTTTTATTATGCTACAAATCAATTTTCTGGTATATATTATCCTACTATTACACAAATATTATGGTATGTTTGTGGAATTTCTGTTGTATTGGTAAGTATAAAAAAAATCCAACTTATGCACCAGGCATTAAAGAAATGATTTTAAAATTTAAAAAGTATTTTTCCCATTCCCGAAGTTTATTTAATTCTACACTACTTAACCCATCTTTAAAGCTAAGAGGTGCAAAGGGACTTGTTCGTAAAATTTATGAGAATTTAGAAATTCAAGAAAATGAACAACCATCTCTCGAAAACTGCCAAGCTAGCATATATTCTTATGCCAGATCAATGTTTGATAAATATAAATCTATGGATACAACTAGTACTGAAACTGCTCCTTCTACTTCTAAGTCCGGAGCAGAAGTTTTATGGGAAGATATGGATGATATAACAGGTTTTGATTCCTCTATTGATGATGAACTTGATTCTTATCTTAATCAAGGATTGGAAAATATTAAAGCCGAAGAAGGCAAGGAACAACTTTTGTCATGGTGGAGGGAGCGTGGCAAGGCTTTTCCAATACTTTCAATTATGGCCCGAGATATCCTGGCTATTCAATCATCATCAGTAGCATCGGAGAGTGCATTTAGCGCGACAAGATTTCAAATTGGAGATCATAGACATTCATTAGCGGAGGACAGTCTAGAGATTTCCGTCTTATTCAGAGATTGGATTAATTCAGAAAGAAGAAATCTTGGTTTTGAAAAACTAACCACTAGGGAGGAAGAAGAATACAATGAGATACTTACCACTGGGAGCGATGATGACATGGAGCTCATGGAACATCAATCAACATTGCCAATTCCAGTAGAATCTCCAAGAGATATTATTGATAAGTTACAAAGCTATATAGGAGCTTACAAATATTAGTATGATAATTTGTAATTGGCTACTAAGAGGCCTAGTTCAAACAGAACCCTTCCTAGAAGGTGGCTGCGTAGATTAGGTGCTCTTCAAAAGAATTGTATTTGTATTTGAGATTTGAAAGTTCTATTAATAAAATAAATGGCTCTAAGAGATGAATTATTTTTATGATTTGTCGGTGTTACTTAATAGCTAATACTTTGAAATTATATTAAATAAATTATAACTCTATTATAAATTTATATTTACTAGATTATTTCATTACAAGTCTTTTGTTTTAATATTTTATAATTCTTTACTTAGTTTTCTAATTTTCTTTTTAACATAGTAACATAGTAATATTTAAGTTTATTAAATAAGTCAAAAATCTAGCCGTTGCAAACTTTAAAAACATAGTAATTTTCAAAAAACTAGAATTTTTTTTTTAAAAATACACTTAAGGCCCACGAACCCGTCCCGTCCCGTCCCGTCCCGTTTGGTTGGCGGGACGGGACGGGACGACCGTTTCGTCCCGTTTGTCCCGTCCCGTTTCGTCCCGTCCCGCCACCGTCCCGCCTAAATCCCGTCCCGTCCCGTCCCGTCCCGTTAAAATCGTCCCGTCCCGTCCCGTTGGACACCCATAGTTGAAACTCTTTTAGTCATTTCATTTTCATAGTCTTGCTCATTAGTCTTTATTGGATAACTACTAATGTATCTAGTCTATTAAAAATATCTGGTGCTTTTTGTATTCTTAATTAAATTCATAAAATCTTTGCTTTGAAAACATTCCAGATAAAAATACTATTAATGATATTTGATAGACATATTCTATAAACAAACTAAAATATAGTGGTAATATTTACCGGCTAGCGCTCCTTGTATTATAAGGAAGACAAAGTGTGTTATTATTTTCGTCAGTGATAATATAGCAAACTAACTTTATAATTTTGGATTACATTGTGAGCCTAACAAATCACTTGCCGATGTGGATGACATATCTAATAAGTTCTTGAATATAGTGGTGCCTTTGGGCAATTATCGGTGTTGCAACAAGTTAGAGGAGGCGTTTGTGCCGATTAGGATGCTTGATTTAAAATATATTTTTCTTTTCTTTTTGAAATTACAGAATCTTTTTAACGCCTTGATATGCCCTTTATTGAAAATTGAAATTGAAATTGAAAATAAAAAATATAAAGTGTAGCTGGTGAAAACACTAAAAAGTGCTCGTTTTTCTGTTTCCGATCCATGGCGGGGAGGAATCAACCGCCGTACAGGCCAAGAGGAGGAGTCAACTTTTCCTCTTCTTCTTCCAGATCCTTCCATCCTTCCCGCAACTCAACCAAAAATGTCAATTCAGAAGAACGGAAGAAGACAAGCTCTAGCAATTGGGACAACAAAGCCGCCATTAATGGAGATATTGATGATATTCAGAATTTACCTTCCTTAGTTGGAACCTGCCCTTTCATGTGTCCTGGTACCACCTATTTCCCCACTTTCCCCCTTTCTGGGTTGACATATTATGCTTTTTCGTGTGCGCAAAGACAGAATCTAACATATAACCTGGTACATACACCCAAAAAAAACATTTCTTACACTATGTTTCTACCAAATCAATAAATGCATAAACTTTTAACATGATTTAATTTATCACTTAACCTGGGTAAATTAACTGGCTTGTTGTGAACAGGAATTTTTTCTGCTTCCTGTACCCATTATTAGTCTAATTGGATAATATAGAAGATTTGAAGTATAAATTTTTATGAAGTACTATGTGTTGTATTTCTCTATCGCGTTTGTGTCTGTATAAAGAGGTGCAGTTGCTACATTTAAATCCTGGTCCATGTGCACCTGCAACTTGAAATAAGTTCAGTGTCTTTTTCTTGGAAAAATAAATTGCAGTTGAGGAGAGGGAAAAGCGAGAGCGGCTGCGAGACTTAGCTGTGTTCGAGAGGCTATATGGAAATCCTGCCAAATCATCACCTAGCCTTGCTGTTAAAAAGGTAGTAATATTTTGGGTATTCTAGCGAGTAGGTGTACTTTCTTTATCCTTTTTGTTTGATTAACTGAACTCCAAGTGTAACAGTCCAGCCCGCTAGTGATACTGTACGCTCTGGGCCTAGGCTTTCACGGGTTTAAAACGCGTCGCTAGGGTCTAAGGCTTGTTAACTTATATACCCAGCACCCAGCATCCCTCCTGTGTTTTGCCGATGTGAGACTTTGTCTAAAGTTTGGGGGTGTTACATACATCCCCTCTTATGGACACCGCATGGGATTCGCCTAGACTCATCACTGAGGTTTGCCCTGCCTAACCGGGATTTGCCTATACTCAGTTGAACTTTTAACCACCATCGGCAAGGCTGACACAAGAGTGGTTTTGATACCAGCTGTAATAGCCCAGCCCGCTAGTAATATTGTCCGCTCTGGGTGTAGGCCCTCACGGGTTTAAAATGCGTCGCTAGGGTCTAAGGCTTGTTCACTTGTTAACTTATATACCCAGCATCCCTCTTGTGTTTTGCCGATGTGAGACTTTGCATAAAGTCTGGTGTCTTACACCAAGATAGCTGGTCTAGAAAGAGGAAGGTTGGTAGGTTGATGACCAGTATAAAAGAATTTATCTATGATGAATCTTCTGAATACTAAAATAGCCAAATGGATTCACAGATTCGCATAGCCAACACTGGATTGATGTTGAGGTTTAGTTGATAGTTGAAATTAATTTGATTGACTGATCTTAACTAGCTCTATGTTTCACTTGACAAAACATTCTAGATTGTAACCAGCTTGTCAAAAAATGTGGAAACAGTTTAAATTGTAATAGCTCATCAAGCATCTAATAGCCCTTTTGTGATTAGAAAGTAAATGTTTTGATGTTCATTGATAATACAGATGATAGGCCGTATTTTTGTTGCCTTTTGGGCCATAAAAGTCAATAGTTAGCTTGGACTGTCGTATATCAGTTTTGAGGTTTTGTATGAGAGATGATGAGCTGGTGAATACAACAAATGTAAAGCAACTCAATATAAGGAAGTAGAACAAAGTTGGTGACTTGTACAATATCAAACAATTTTCCTTACCATGCATTGACTAATTACTGCCAAATTTGTAGATATTAGTACAAAATGGTTAATGCCAACAAAATCAAGCGCATTTCATCAAGGATAACAGAACATGCTTGTTCCCTAGAAGTTAGAGGGCCTCTTTTTTCTTTCTTTGAATTTTGAACGTAGAAGACCACCTGCTTCAACTTTCACGTGTAAGAATTATTAACGTTGTAGTCCATAGCTAAAAGCATCAAATTGAAACACTATTCTATAATGTTGGAGAGGATAAATGATCATCGCTTAGGACAAAAGATATTTTGTGCAGAAAGTTTCAAAAGGAACTGAACTTGCAATAAAATGCAGAGCTCTGAAGAGATAAACAAAGATAGATCACTGAAAACTTTCATTTTTATCGTGTCAAAATATACCCAAAGCAGTATATTACTGTAAAGATTGAGAAGTGAACAACAATAGTGGAGCTCAAGCTTGAGCTCCAATGGTGGAGCTCTAGAAGCTTCTCGAAGGAGAGAGAGAATGAGAGAAGGATGGGAGCAAAAATGAACTAATTGAATTAAAATGTTATCTATACAAGGTATACATATATACACTACACGTGAGCCACATGTGAGGGCACTAACTAACAAAACAAAGAAGCTAACTAACTGCTAACATACTTAACAGTGTTACACATATAATTAAAACAACATCTCAATAATTACAGATTCTAACTGTTGTTTCTTTTGCTTTGTTTGAGTACAACGGAATTTTATTTCAATGGTCAAAAGGAATTATACATTCATGTCTTAAAAAGTTCTGTATTTCCATTATAGCATATCTTTTCCATGTACCAGTTAGTAGGTAACAATCATATTTTTATACAAAAAGGTAATCAAGATGCAATCCTATCCCTGCCAAAAGTTGCTTGAGTTCTGAACATATGAGGTCCATATAAAAGTGACTTTTGTCCCGGCTGATTTGGCTGATTTGTCCCTGTGTGATACCCAAGGGTGTGGCCTAGTGGTCAAGAAAGTGGGTTGAGAACCATAAGGTTTCAGGTTCAAATCCCAACGGAGGCAAAAACACAAGGTGATTTCTTCCCATCTATCCAAACTTTGGTAGGCAGAGTTACCCAGTACCTGTGTGGTGGGAGGTAGCAGGTACCCGTTGAAATAGTCGTGGTGCACGCAAGCTAGCCCAGAGACCACGGTTATCAAAAACAATTTGTCCCGTGTGGGCATGACTAAGTTTCAAACTTGACTTGATACATAATTATTACGTCTTTTATTTACAGCATGTACGAACAATATAGAATTTAATCAGTCTTTCATCTCCTTTAAAAATTTGTACTCCTTTCAGACTTCATTTTCATTGTTGTTAATACTTATAAGCCAAGTGTTAGTTGCACCGGAAGTGATTTCAGAGTCTTTTCTTACCTACTTTTGATACTTTAGTAAAATTTAATTCACTCTTCAGTCTTTGTCGCAATGATGGTTTACTGAATTTTTCTCTTGTTAGTTCTGCAGGACTATATCTGGAAAGACTCTGCAAGATTCTGACGTGAGGCCTCTCTCAGTGTTGGAAGACACTTTAAGTTATCTGAGTAACTTGCTGGATTCCACAGAGCATCCCTTTGAGGTGGTTCATGACTTCATCTTTGATAGGATGAGATCCATTAGACAAGATCTAAGCATGCAAAATATCGCTTGCAGTCGAGTGGTCTCTATGTATGAGAGAATGGTATGCTCATTTAATCAGGTTATCTTATCCAAAAGAACTTGAATTAGAGCTGAATGGTATATGTCTGTCTAGATGCATGAATCATGATATGGTTGCATCTGAACATCCTACGGTTCCTGCATCTCAATCTTCTTTCCTCAAGTCTTAGATCCACTGCGAGCAAATTTAACATTGCAGAAAGCAGAAAAAGATCAATAAAGGAACTTGAGAAGCTTGTAGATTGAATTCAAAAGATGAATCGATTTGATAATAAGAAGTGAATATGTTGTTAGATGTGGATGTTGTATCCCCTACTAGATACAATTTTTAACCAATTTATTGATACAAATTTAGCCATTGGGCCACCTTAACCACTTGGCCATGTTCTCCCAATCACTCTGCTAGTTTCTTGCATGTTGACTTCATCAGTTCCCTGTGTATTTAAGGGAACAACTGAATTTTGATGTAAATAGCTTTGTAATTATGCACCTCTAGAGTGCTTTTGTTAATGATTTTCTTTACCTTTTTAAAAAAAAAAAAGGAAAAAGATTTGTGAAGGAGTAGAAGAGGGAAGAACATTTTTTTATAAGGTAGTAGTTTCATTAAAAAGGGCATTGTAAGGTAATAGTTTCATTAAAAAGGGCAAAAAACGTGCTCGCATACAAGTATATCAAAAAATAGAAAACCTTACAAGAAGAAATGGTTTTCTACTAAAGACACCCAATTACTACACAAATAGGAACCTCATGGGTGCACGAAAAGGAAATAAGGGAAAAAAAGGCTATTCCTTAATTGTATAAAGTCTTCCTCTACTCCCTCAAAAGCTCTCATATTTCTCTCCCACCAAACGTTCCACTTAAGTGCTAGAGGACGACATCCCATGCCATCATCTTCTCTTCCATCTTCTAAAGGCCCAACTAAACATAGTTTGTGACTTGATTGCTGACATTACACAGTACCCGCCTCCTTATATTGGAATCTTAATCCGATATAACGAATAAGTATTTTTTCTTTGCTTGTAGGCTAAGTATTTTTTTTCTCTACTTGTAGGCTAAGTATTTATTTTCTTCAATGTAGAGAATATCCTCCTCATTCTATATATAACCCCCTTCTTTGGTAATCTTTCGTTTGGCTGATATGACAAGGAAACATCTTATTTAGGAAACCAAGCAAATAATTTTTCCGAATAGATTCTAAGCTTAAAATGTTCAAGTATTCCTTCTTTTAGTATTAATGCAGATTGCAGAATGTTTAGGAATATGTAGCTCTAATATGGTTATGTAGCTCTAATATGGTTTTCTCCACAGGTTAAAATTCATATAATATCCCAGCATAAGCTTAGAAGATGTAGCGGTTCAAGTATTTCTTCGCTGTCATACCTCAACATGGAGCAGCTTACTAAAGCATTGGCGACTTTATTTAATCTTTATGAAGCAAATCGAACTTCAGAATCTATCTTTGAAAATGAAGCTGAATTTTTTTCATTTTATGTGCTTCTCCACCTTGATTCTAAAACCCAAGGAACAGTTAGGTTTTCATTTTTTTTCCCTTCCTCTTTCTGAATTTATCAAAGATTGTGAATTGCAGTTAAATATCAGGAGCTTACTCAGAGACCGTTTTCTTTATTCAATTTCACTAAACATTGTTCTTCTTGATTTGCAGGGGGAGACACTATCTTTATGGTTCCGCCGTGTTCCTTCTCACATTATGAAGTCAACAGAAATGAATTTTGCTCGGAAGATCTTGAGGTAGATCAAAGGCATTTTGTATCAATTATAGTTGCTAGTAGAATACTTTTTATTTTTGTATATGGTAATTTCAACCTTTTATTCTTATTTGTAAAATATTTTGTGACAGATACTTTAAATTGGGCTTCTACAAGAAATTTATCCATATAACAGAGTCCGAAGCATCCTACCTGCAGTATTGCATTATTGAACCTTCTATCAGTGAGGTGAGTTCTTATATATCAGCAAATTATATTTCTGTGGCATATGCTCTCTCATTTGCCTGATAAATATTGTTTTCACTCCTCCCCTGCTTCTCGTTGTTGGAAGAAAATTGGGGTTTGATCCTTCTCCCACCATATAAGTCTGCTTCTTACTGAGAAGAAAAACTGAGGCCTGTCTAAAATGGCAGCCTTTAACGTCTAGTTTGAAGCATCCCTGACTAATGCTGGCATTGCGAAGCAAAATGCTTCATTTTTAGTGCTTTTAACAATTTTCTCTACTTAAATAGAATTCCCTTCTTAACTTTTTCTGCTCCCCCCCCCCCCCCCCTGTTATTTTTATTTTTTTATGTTTTATTTTATGGATAAGTTTGATCCCCCTTAATTTGGTCCATTTGTGTTATTAAGGTTCGAGCACTAGCTATTTCCTGTGTGAATTATGGAGGATACAAGCTTCAGCCTTTTCCCCTGGCGGCTCTTTCCAAGTTCCTAATGATGAAGGTAAAATCCTATCTAGTATTAAGGGTTTTGATTAGAAAAAAAAGTTCAGCTCCCCACATTCTGAATTTGGCTGCTCTAATGCATGGTTATTTAGGAATGGGAGTTAGAATCTTTCTGCAATGACAGTGGCCTTCAGACCTCCATCGATGAAGAAGGAAATAGTTGCTTGCCTACCAAGCAAACAACTCTTATCCATCCAAAAGGAGGGTTGCACAAGTATTATCCTCTGGAGTCAGAACGGTTCGATAGGTGAGTCCTACAAATTTCTTCATTCATTCCCCTACAGGAACAATTAAAATCGTTGAAGCAAAGCTGAAAGATCTTAGATTAGGAGAACAAACTTAAACACTTCTTCCTTTTGTGAAAGTAGGCTGGCTGTATGAGCTCTAAGTTACCTGGTAAATTAGAATATGTGGGAATCCAAGTAAGAGCATAACCTTGTGCTAGTGTGACAGGGATCAACTTCACTGTAAATATGGAGCAATTTATCACCAAGTCAACCATTATGTTTGCTAAAAAGAATTCTCATGTATGTATGTAGATGGATGTATAATTAAATTTTATGCTTCTGGTAGCGAATGAAAAATACTTAAAGATTCTAAAGTAATTTAATTGGACCTTTACTATCTGATGCCAAGGCTAATTGGTCGATCTTCTCTGGCATTGATTTATTACTCTCTAGCAGTACATAACTCTGAAGAAGGGAGTAACTGGATTTCCGGGCCATAGTGATTACCTGCTCACTTGCTTTTGCTATGCTCGAAATCCGTAGTTGACCAACATACATTTTTGAAGCTTGGGATTTTGGATCCCATCTGTCCAAGCCTTGGTGGATAGTATTACCTAGTACCTGCACTGGTGGGAGGTAGGAAGTACCCCGGAATTAGTCGAGGTGCACACGAGCTGGCCCGGATACTACAGTTATAAAAAAATTAATTTTTCACATTCTTACGAACAAAGTGATTACTGTATCTTGATCCTCAGCTAAGAGCAGAAAGCAAAATTGTTGCATTCTCGGAACTTGATGGTTGTTGCACATACAGTGCAGGCTCTGCCTGCTCACTGCGTGTGAGCACGTGATTTTTGCCACGCTTAAATTACTCCTATAGAATTCATTTGAATTAGAATTTTTCTTTTAGTATTTGAATTTTTAGGAATTAATTGCATGATTTTGTGTTTTGTTTGCATTTTGTGTGCATTTTTAGGTGTTATAAAAAAAATAAAAATTCCAAAAATAGCATACTTGCATTTAGGACCTAATTCTAGATTTTTATATTAATTAAACATCATTGAAAATGAGAGAGAAAATAACAAAAAATAATCCTTTTATATCTTTTGTTCCTTTAATTTCACTTTCGTTTAATTCTCCTTTTAAAATTATGATCTAGTTAATTCTAGGAAATTTAATTAGTCTCATTTTAAAATTAAATTAGGTTTTGGCTATTTTTAATTTTACATTTAATAAAATCCAAAATTCAAATAAATAAAGAAGAAAAGAGAAGAAAATAAACCAAAAGAAATGGAAATGAAAAGGACCAGGCCACAAGTCTTGGGCCAATTCGAGCCAAATAAACCCAACCAGATCCGGCCAAAATGGCCCAAACCCAATCCCAAAATACCCGGTCCAGTTCCCCCTATAACTAAACGACGCCGTTTGGCGTCACACAATCCTGGCCATCAATTTTATCTAATCCAACGGCCACAATTGAGTTTTACTTTTACATAAAATTGTCCGAAAAAATATACAAACCCTAAAACATAACCTATCTTCCTCGTACCATGTCTCCGCCACTGCTCCGCCGCCTTCCACCTTCGCCGCCGGCCGGAAATCGTCTCCGCCGGCGGCCAACGTCCAAGTCGTCCCAAATTTTTACCATGTCATCTCCTTCATCTCCCCATCCCATATCCGTCATTATTTTCCTCCAAATCCCAATCAAATACCCCAAATCTTCCAAACCCTAGGCGCCGCCACCACCGTGCACGGCGGCGCCACCACCGTGCACGGCGGCGCCACCACCAAATAATCCCAACTTCACACCCTACACTCCCTTGACCTTCCTCATCCCCAATCCCTAGCTGAAACGTTTCAAACACCACCGACTCTCTTCGAATTTCAGATCGAAGTTCGACTTCAAACCCTAAAATTGGAGTCCTTTCGATTCTGGACTGGAATAGTCTTTGATTTTGTGTTTCTCATGGAAACACATGATTAAGGACAATTTCAGTCCGAATTCGACCAAAGCTTAACTGGAATCCGTCCAAATCTCAAATCTCAAGTTTTGAAGAACCCTAGTATGTGCTGGTCCAAACCAGTAAGTGTCCTAAATCCTTTGATTTTTTTTTTAGTTTAATCCTATTTAGTTTTGCTCTGATTCTTCTTTTTTGTTTTCTTTTCGTTTTTGTTAGTACTAATTAGGTCAAGCACTTTATTGTTAGTTTAGTTAGATTCTTCTTAGTTTCTGATGTGTTTGATTTTCTTTTAATAGTCATAATTTGTTCGTTTATTAATCTAGGTGTGATTTGAATTTTAAAATTTAAGATTGAGCATGTTCTAAGCTTTGATTCAATATTCTATAATTGCTGTCCTAATTTTTCTGATTTCCTTTAGTATAATTGAGACTAATTGCTTCATTTAGCCTAATTTCAACTCTGAGTTTCATTAAATTCAATATATGTGTTCTTGCATTATTTCTGCATGGTTAATTGAGTTCTAGGAAGTCTTGTTGGATCTTTTATCATTTTGTGTTAATAATACTTTCATTCTAGTTTAATTTTGATTAATTTTAGGCTGTTTGGTTATAGCTGGTAGATTTTAGCTAGGGCTAGTAATTCTAGGATTATTCAAGGGTAGTTTGGGCACTGGAAATGGCTCAGTTTATTAAGGCTCTGTAATTTTAGAACTCAAATAAGGGTAATATAGGCATTCCATAGGTAGGAAAACACCCTAGATCCTTCTAGAAGGGGGCCTTAGTGTAAGTTTTCTGCATTTTAATGCAGTAACTTGGGTAACAAGCCACAAAATTAGGGATTAAGGTACATTTTCTGAAAATAAAAAGGGGGAAAAATGACTAAAAATTTCCAGAAACATTCTGCCCCTTTCCTTGCCTATAAAAGGCAGGCCTAGTGCCTTGTTTTTCAAGTTTTAGATCCCTGAAAATTTTTCAAAACCTTCCAACTCCAAATTTCCCCCCAAGTATACATTTTCTGCCAGTCTAAGATCTGAAATTTGAATTTCAGATTCAAATATTCAAATCTGAAGTCCTAAAGTTCAACAACTTCTCTTAGATCTTCATTTTCTTCAAAAAAAAAAACCCAAAAACAAAAGAAAAAATACAGCAAAAATACTGTTCTATTGTGACTTTGGGCTGAATTTCAAGTTGTAGTGTTAGATTGGCATCTTCTAGCTCGGTTTCTAGTGATTGAAGTCCTTTAAGACATTCCTAGTTCAATTTCAACTAAATTTGGGTGAAAATCAGTGTGACTTTGGTCATTTTATTGCTGTTATTCTTCTATCGTTCCTCCCTAGGTATTGTGGCTTGATTTGGGTTGAGAATTAGCCTTGTGTAAGCTATATTGTTGCTGAATTCGTTGCTGTGATCTGCTGAACTGTTGTTGATCTTATTTCCTTCTTACTTTGCTCAATTCCAGGTACACTGTTGTCTCTAATGCTCTGAAGTTTCACTCAATGTATGTGAACAATTTTGACATCAAATGATGAGGAATTGCTATGTTATCACACGAATCTGCCTCTGTTCTCATTACTAGTTTAATATATAGCTGTAGCTTCATTTGAACGAACATGTATAAATGTTAAATAGGACTATTTGTATAATTAGGACTGTTTGAACATGAACACTTTGGGACTTATATGAATTTAAATTCTTTGACTCATGTTAAAGCTATGTTCAATGAAGTTCTGCTCATGGTTTAGTTCGTGTTAAATTCCACAGCTTATTGGTATAGATATTGCACTGGTAGTATATAGGTTCAAACATGTTCCTTTAAACACAAACCCCGGATAAACACATGTTCATAGAGACATACACATTCCAGATGTAGGTGTAAAAATGAGATTCAAAATCAGTTTATAAGTTTCAAAATCAGGTTGCGAATAGTGTTTGTTTTCACTTGTTTCAATTCGTTTCAGTGCAGTAGGTATTGAATTGGTGATTGACTGGTTTCAGTTCTTAAAATGATCCCTATTCCTACAATATAGAATTCAGGCAAGATACCTGAAATTCAAGGACCATTAGTTACCTTTGGGCCCCAAACAAAATGGCCCAGCAGCTGTATGCGAAACTGATCCAAGGCCCACTCTAAGAGTTAGCTTCACAGCTGAAACTCTAATGTTGGGTAGGGGGTTTAATTCAGGCTTTGTTTCCATTGGGCCTGCGCAAAGGCCCACAACTGGGCACTGCTTACAAAAATTGACCAAAATTATCGGGCTAATTTCATAGCCCAACATGCTGAAAGGCTCGAATTCCATTTAAGAGCATTAGGATTAATTTGGCGACATAAATTTGGGCTTACGAGTTAGGTAGCGGGTTCAAATTAAGAGGTTTTCCCTTTTGTTTGAATCCGGACTTGAACTTGAGGCCCGAATTTATAATATCAAATTAACTAGGACTCTTTAGAGACCAATTCAATAGAAAATTATAGTTTGCTTTAGGATGGCCTTAAAATAATAAAGTGAGATGAGCCTCGCCAAACAAAACACATAAATTTGTGGGGCCCTCATTGAATGCTTAATTAAAATACTTAGAATTCGGGGCGTGCCGTTTAGCGAATTTCACGGCCTCCCGCAAAGATTAATAACTCGTTAGTCGCGTTAGGCGCGCTTTTAATAATTTTACCTTCCTAAATACGGGTGTGCATTTCATGCAACCCAAATCCAAATCCCAAAACGTTGAATAAGAATGTGTCGAGGATCCGGGTGCATTTCATGTGATGTGATCCAAAAACACATTTTTAAACGACGTTCACTTTCTTAAAATTTTTTTTAACTAAAAGCGGTTAAACAATTCTAAAATTGCACTATAGGTTTGAACATGTATAAAAATCAGATTTCGGCCATTTATTATAATTTAAGCGACCGTGCTAGAACAACGGGATCCGGGGGTGCCTAACACCTTCCCTCGGGTCAACAGAATTCCTTATTCAGAATTTCTGGTTCGCAGACTCCAACTGGGAAGTCGAAATTTTCCTCGATTTGGGATTCAAGTTAAACCGGTGACTTGGGACACCAAAAGCCAATCCTATCCCAAGTGGCGACTCTAAAAATCAAATAAATAATCCCATTTCGAATAATGTCACTTTAAATGGAAAAACTCCCTTATACATTATCCTTCGGGGTAGGTGTGTAAAAAGGAGGTGTGACAGCTCTGGCGATTCTACTGGGGAACACGAACCCAAAATTTCAATTCAGTGTTCAAGAATTCGAGCTTAGTGCAATTGTTATATTTGGCTTTATCTGATTTTTCTACATGTTCCATGCTATATGTGCTAAATGTTTTACCGCTTTGATATTTGTTGAAATTGTATATATAAACTGTCGCGAATCCCTTCCTCTTTCTGAGTCTTCTACATCATGGAGAAGGGTGCACTTCGTGTAGCTTCTCTTCTGTTTAGAGTCTTTCCCAATTTAGAACGAGGTTTGGATAAGTTGCTAAGCAGGCGGAGCTTCTGTATCCCCGGTACGCTGCCTCCCCCTCGGCTCGAGTTATCCGCTCGGGTAAGCCAGGTCTAGACCAATAAACCTAGGGTTTAAACCTAGAAGAACAAAACCTCATGCCGGATCCCTAGTAGGACGTTTGTTTGCATCATGTGCATTTGACTTAGGGGACTCAACACAGGGGTTGGGTCCGTCTAGGACAGGTGACCTGAAATGAATTGACCATCCTGATGCATCTTACGTGCTACTTGCGCATTTATTTGCTCGGCTTTGCATGTTGACCGGCTTGTCTAAATGAGTGAATTACGAAAAATAAGCAGTGTTAGGACCAAGTAAGGGTGACCATTTGTTTTGAAAAAAAACCCAATGCCCAAATAGTACCGAAATGCTGCCGGATTTGTGAAAAATGAAAAAAAAG